CGGTCAGGTGCAGAGGTGCAGAGACAAAGAACGATCTTGTGCTTCTAGAAAGGAATGTTGTTGTTTTTTTACAACAACACATTCTACAATTCTACTCCTTACTATTCCCCCTCCCAATTACCCCACTAATGAAACAGCATAGTAAAATAAGAGAGAGTGTGGCAGGCCAAAGATCCTAAAAGGAATATGACTGCAGGCCTGACACAGAGTTTTAATACTTTGACCATGCAAGATACAGCAAAATGTCACTGTTCTTAGCCCATAAATTGTTAGAAAACAACTTTGTTCTTGTCAACATGTTGAACAGATTGTTATTGTTTTGAATTAGTATTATTTCTGGTCTAAGACCAACCATAAAAGCAAATTGCAACAAATGCAAAAATATAATTATTATATTAAAAAACTGAAACAGTTAACATAGTGAAAGAGACAATGTGAAGAAGACACCAAATGGTTTATAAGAATCATGGCTATCAGTAAGAATATTGCAACTTACATAAAGGTTTCTGAGAATTGATCAAATGGGAGAAGTATAATCTTGCAGTAATAAGAGCAAATGAAACTACTGACAATGGGAGATAGGAGTTTTGATTCCCGTTAGCTGTATAATATAATAGGAATGTTAATATGTGATGGAGTCTGAAAATGTTTGTTACAGTTTCACCTATAATGTTTTTTATACCTATATATTTTTAATTTATTAATTTTAAGACACTTTCTGCCTTTGGTGCTTCAGAAATAAAATATTAAGTCAAAATATAAACATAATACTGCTAATACAGAAATGATTGCACGTCATAGGAGCAAGCATGGCTCTCCAGAGTGTGTTTTGATTCTACCTCCACCCCTTCATCCTTCTATTCTTTTTCTCCTCTGCAGCAAAATTTGGAGATTCACCGACGGGCACATTTGTCAGAGCAAGAGCTTGAAGCCCTTGAAAAGAATGACATGGAGGTACGGGAGAGGTGATGGGGGGGGGGGGCACAAGGGAACGTGTCACATAGGAAACATCTCATCATCTAACACCGTCCATTCATCACTGTTTTCAGATGAAGTATCGAGATCGTGCAGCTGAGCGAAGGGAAAAATACGGTGTTCCTGAGCCACCAGAACCCAAGAAAAGAAAATATTCAGCTGTGACCCCAGCCACGGTGTAAGTTTTATACTACAGGTTTCATTTTTAGAAGAGGCTGTGTTTCTTAGCAAAGTGTTCTTTGCCTCATTGCATTGGGCTCGACTGGCAGAAGAGAGAGCAGGATTGCCTTAACTGTTTACTTCATCCCCTCCCCATTTGCAACAGGGATTTTGAACAACCAACACGAGACGGACTGGGAAGCGACAATATTGGCAGCCGCATGTTGCAGGCCATGGGTTGGAAAGAAGGCAGCGGTTTGGGTCGCAAGAAACAGGGTATTGTAACCCCTATTGAGGTAATTTTTCAGATTGCTCTATATGTAAATAAATAAATAAATTTTGTATTCTGGAAGGACGTGGTCTCTCCAATTGCTTTCTCTTATTATATACTGGTTTTGCGTAAAGACGTCTTTGAGTCTTATTGCATAGTATTAGAGCATTAATAGATCAGTTTATATATATGTTGCTTAGGCTTTCTTCTGTCCCATATATTATACTGTCTATGAAAAAGGAAATTGCTGTGATAGGAAACATGATTGTTAAAAATAGAAATTGGGAGCAAGAATGGAACTGTTCCACAAGAAGGGAGTTGATGGTGTGGTTGTTTGACATCAATAAAATGATTTCACACAATGAGAAAAGATGGCATCTTACAAAATAGGCCAAAGAGTAGATCTGTGATAAAGTTTTATTTTTCCTTTTGTTACCATGTGTTATCTTGTTGGGAGGATCAGTGTGATTTTATTTTTTCCTTCCCTCTTAGGCCCCAACTCGAGTACGAGGGTCTGGCCTTGGCGCCCGTGGCAGCTCTTATGGGGCGGTAGCATCAGAGTCGTACCGGGAAGCATTGCACAAGACAATGCTCACTCGTTTCAACGAGTCAGACTGAACTTTGTAAGAAGCACCTCCTGTACAGTATTTTGCTGCTGTCTTCCCTTAGCCCCCCCCTTGCCTTCCAACTTTCAGAATGTTCTTTTGGTTGACTTTTTTTTTAATTAAATGTTCAAATGGACAAAGATTTGGACAGAGGATTTTACATGGTTGAAGCATGTAGAAAATGAACAATACACTTGGTGCTCTTGTAACTAATAAGCATTTCCAATGTTCATTATGTATAAACATGTGGTACAGTTAACTCTTGAGTTTACAAGCTTTCCACATATAGGTACAAAGAGGCAGTAATTGTAGCCCTGATCAGGATCTTGTAGTCTCAGTCCTCAGGGTTTCCATTTGAGATGCCTGCCAGTCTTGGGTTTAGCAAAAAGAAAACACAGGGAAAACTCTCATCTCAGCAGGCAGCCCTTGGCTTTTCAAAGGATCTGGTGCAGCCCTTCCACCAACTCTACATAATGGGGTTCTGAAGAGAGAAGCAGAGGAAAACTCTGTATGCATGGTACTCACTATCCTTCAAGTGTGTTTCTACGAAGAAGCCTGTCTTCGTCATTTTCTCCCCCTTCTCTCTTCCCGTAGTTCATTTTATTTTTACTTTGACCATACATAGCTGACATTGAGGAGGCCTACCTTGATCAGGTTGAATGTAACTATGTCTGATTAGAAAATCCAGTGCTACCATCGCGCAGTTGGGCTTGAAATCGGAAGATCCAATGGCCTCTCTCACCTGCGTGGGAAGATTTACAATTAACATATAAAGTAGAAATGGCAGTTAGCACTCCAACGTCATGCCTAGACTAAGATAATGGCTACCATAGCACAGAATTAACGAGAATGTGTGGTAATACTTTTCCTCTATCATTCCAAATAAAGTTAAACACAAAACATAATAATGAGCTAGGAAACTACAGGAGAGCTACAGTCTTACTATCTCTTATTTGAAATATGCCACAAAATGGAACAGGATCCGTCATGCGTAATCAGTTTTCATTGGGCTTTCCAAAGATAGACTCATTACAAATGGGAACAGCAAAAAACATTGCTTGTTTGTGGGAGGCCTCATTAGTGCTACCTTTCATTCTTCAAAGGGGGCAACCTTTATTGGTACGCAACATGGCACCTACAAACCTTATCAAGTGACCAAAGATAGAATTCTTGCACTTCTCCATCTCCTACTTGGGGCACAAATTCTTCAGGCAGCTCCAGGTCATATACAAACTGGCATTCAGGATTGATGCCTCCATCTGACCCTTCATATGTGTAGCTGGGTTGCGGAGAGGGGGAAAGAATAATTCAATCACACCAGTGACTTCCGTAAAGAATGTTCAGTTAACACTGATTTGAGTTAGAGAGGAAGTGACCTCATTCAGAGGAGCCCAAGCCATCTTTTTATACTGCTTCCGGGATTCCTATGAAATTAGGAGTGACATTTAGAGGTCCATGTATGCTTTATGGATAAATGCTGTGTGCTACATCAAGGCAATCTAATCTGGAAATTCTACATATTGACACTGCTTCTATATTTGACATATTTGTTTTCACGATTCAACTGGAATATGCAGCAATCAAGAAAATCACCATTTGGTAATTGAATGAAAATTTATTGATTATAAATACAGTATGTTCCCTTAATGTCAACTCCAAGGGAAATTATGTATGTATGTATGTATGCACACAAGCAAACATAAATCCTACTGCACTACAATGTACCTTGGATTTTAGAACTTTCTACATTACCTGATCGTTCCAACAGATTTGGATAACGTAGCAAGGGAAGCAGGAATGCAAGCCTCCTCTTGGCACTCTTTTATTAGTGTTTCTCTGACACCCAGCTCTGATGAAATGCCACCTGCAGCCTTGCCAAAACAAAAACAAACCCCTTAAATTGTGGTTCACCATAAAGCAAGCAGTCAACATTAGCTATTTTTTGTATTTAAGAAGGATCTTTTCCATCAAACAAAATAATTATTTCTGAGTTGGCGAATTAGATAGCTTCAAGACTTCTTTGGAGCATTTACACACAATCCCCGACTTACAACCATTTATTTAGTAAACATTCAAAGTTACAATGGCATTGAAAAAAGCGATTTATGACTGGTCCTCGCATTTATAATTATTGCCGCATGCTCATAGTCACATGGTCTAAAATTGGGTACTTAATAACTAGCATGAATTTACAACAGTTACACTGTCCTGGGGTCATGTGATCACCATTTGTGACCTTCCCAAATAGCTTCTGACAAGTCAATGGGGAAAATTCAGATTAATTAGTGTATTTCAATTAATTGCAGTGGTTCCCTTAACAACCATAGCAAAAAAGGTCATAAAATTGGGTGCATCTCTCTTTAACTGCCTTGCTTAGCAAGGAAAATTCTGGTCCCAATTGTAGATCAAGGACTACTATACATGCTTTTAATCTGTAAGAAAAATATCCGCAGGAAGAACTATGTTCTAAGAAAAATGGTTCAGGCTGAAATTGTAATTTTGTATAATTAATAAAGGCTTACTTCTATTTAGGGCATTCAACTCAATACTGTGGCCCGCCCAAGCTCATTAAGTTAAGTGATTTCTCTGGCTGTATTGGAGCAATAAAGAGTATTTAGACAACTGTTAGCTAATCCCATCTTCATATGAGATATTCTTTTCGTCATCCTATTTTATCTCTTACCAAATTATCCAATAAGCCAGGATATGTGGGTTTGTTCAATGCCCTACGGGCCAGCCACATGTGCATTTCATCGTTTCGCCAAGTATAGCCATTCAGGTGGGCCCCATAGGTCTTCACCCCCAATAGTGCTGAATCAAGAGAAATCAGATATGAATGTAGGCAGCATTTCTTGCTACCTAAACCAGACACCTACCTTTGCACCATATGTTCTGATTCTATAAGTAATTTCATCTGCTTACGCCTTCATAATATATTTACTATTAATAGTATTTACTATTAAAATACTGTGTTGGGGAATGTTGACAAGAAATAGGATATTAAAGGAACAGCTAGAATGTCCATACACAATTCCTTCTTTATGATTCACAATGTAATATTAGAGGAATTCTTATGCAAGTTCAAACTTTTCTTTGTTTCTCTAGAGCTGCAGAAGTTGATCCAAGATTGGTAGTCCATTAAAAATACCTAAAACCAATCCCAAATTTTCAATAATCAGAATTTTGCATTGAAGAGACAGCATTGTGGATAACTCCAATGCAGAAAACAAATTCTGAAATGATTTGCCTATGGTTAGCTTCCTATACACTGATCTATCAAGGCCCATGGAAATCTGATACTGTACTTCTAATTGTTGAGTTTTATGGGGGAGGAATGCTTGGCATGAACAATTTTTTTCATAGCATAATATTGGTGAAGAAGAAATCTGATTTTACATAGGAAAGGAAAATTAAGTGTCTTAAAGTGGGTTGTTTTTGCGTGTGTGCAGTGATCTTGACATGCTTCATTGCATTCATCCTACAATTTGAAGGAATAGTGATCTACCTTTTATGTCGAAACCATGCCATCTATTTTAAAATAAAATTATAAAATATGTGTTCAAAGGCCTATAAAATTATATACTGGTATTCAGGAAGCAATATTGGAGCAAAATGTGATGGCAAGATTTGTAGAATTTGTTCATTCCTACTTTTGGGTGGGAAACCGGAAGAAAATATATATCATTTTCCTTTAGAATTGGTAAACATATAATACCTAAACAAATACAGAGATTTATTTTATGTATTTGCTCATGGGACATCTTAATAATGAAACAGTTTCTGAAACAGAATATTTACAGTATTTAAACTATTGTTGATGCACATATTTAAAAGAATATCAGCAAGGAAGCTACATTTCTTGACTGAGATTTCACTAAGGCATTTCTTATTTAAATTTCCTAAGTAGATGAAATACTTTGGACTCTGTGACAGGAATGCCGCTAAATTCTTTGGTTGAGGCTTTATCCCATATCTCTGCAGCTTAAAACAATTTTGTTCGATTTAAATACATTTTGCACAATCACCCTACATAGTGCACCATTCTAGTTTTCCTCATAACAGTCCAGGAAGAGAAGATAAACAGAAAAAACAACCCCCCCCCCAAAAAAAAACACAATTTGCCCAAAGTTATCCAATGAATTTCCATGACTGGGGGTGGACTAGAATCTTGGCTTCTCTGCCCTTAGTACAACACATTAACTATCATACCACTCTGGCTCTCTTTTCTAAGATAATTTATAATTTTAAAAATTGCACACAGTGGAGTGAGTTACTTTTGCACAAGTCCTATACAGCAGTGCCAAGATTTTTAAATTTTAAACTTACGTGTTGCAGCACGTTCCATGCTGAAGAAAGGTGTGTCACAAAAATAGGGCATTACATTGTACATCTGAAACAGAGGCATATTTTTATTAATGACTAGCTCTGGTACTGCGCGCGCTTACACACACACACTGCATTGTCTTCCTAAGCTGTTACTCAGAATAGAAACACTGGGCTTTTCTTGCCTGCATCTCTTCTATAGCAGAAATAGAAGAAAGTCCCCTTCCTATTGCTTAATTGTGCCAAGTCCTCACCTCATCCCTCCATCCTTTTAAACAAGGAAAAGCTTGCTGTGCTTTCAGCTCCTTGAGCACTCTTTGAACAGCAGCTGTCCTCTGGTCACAAGAAGTCAGTTGTTTGTTAAGTTCCACCCTTGGAGAGGCTTTATCTCCCTGAGACACTGAGAAAACAGTCGGGTACTGATGGAGACATTTGGCTACAGCGGGTGGGACATATCCTACTTGTTGTCCAGCAACCATAAATGGCAAACACAGCGCCTTGGAAGAACCTGCAAAGAAATGAAACCCAAATCAATCTCTTGCAGCTAAGATCTAGTTTCTACAAATAATTCAAATCTGCCAAAGTGCTTCTTTGGAAAATGATCTGTGGGTTACTAACAACTGCAGAGATTCACTTAACAACTGTGGCAAGCAAGGTCATAAAATGGGGCAAAATTAACAAATGTCTTGCTTAGCAACAGAAATTTTGGATTTAATTGTGCTCGGAAGTCAAAGATTACCTGTACAAACCGAAAGATGATACAGAGAAAGTAGCTTTTGTGGCAATAAAACTTACAGCAAAATCATTATAAGGAAAGGATTAATGAGAGTCCTAGAACCTGAGGAAAAAATGCCTATGTAGACCAACATTTTCTTCTTATAGAGGTAAATAGGTGACCGTATGAAGATCACAAGCAGCATGTGAACAACCAGTACAGAAAAGTACTTTATTATTGATATTTATCTGCATGATTTTTATTAGATAGATAACTTGATGGATTTATCCAATTTTGTATCGTGTAGTAAGCTAAAAAGCTTCAAACTGCTTTCTTGACAGATGACTTGAGTTTTTGTATTTTCTTTTCTGTACTTTTCCAACACCTACAACTTTTTAAGGTGCAGTGATCAAAACCTGAATAAGGATATTATGTGACATCACTACACATTTGTGAAAAATCATTACAGTATCTGATTTTTTAAAATTCATTTCCTACTTATCCAAGTTATATAGAACTTGCCTTTTCAGAGCTACTGCCACAATTCAGTCGGCATCTTCGTCCACCAATTCACTACCTTCCCAGTTTCTTTCCTGGACATAATCTCAGATTCACTCAGAACACATAAAATTAAGCCTTTTGCCCCATTGCTTTTACATGACTTATCTTAAACCCTGTTTGCCATTTGATGTCCGTTTCTTTGTTTGCTTTTCATTGTCATTTACTTGAGAAAAAAAACAACAACCTTAAAGTATCAGCAGAGGGATCCACTTCAGAGTTTGCCTTCATTCCAGATCGTTTTAGGAAGGTGCTGAAAAGCATCAGTCCCAATGTTTGCAAAAACCGTGTATTTATTCCTACTCTCGGTTTTATGTACCAGAAATAATTAAACCATAAGCGAATGCTCCTTTTTTTTTTCTTGCTGTTTGCATAGCGGTCTTTGAAGAACCGCAAGCGATTTGCAAAACGAAGCGGGGGGGGGGGGGATGAATCCAGATCGTTTCTCATTTATTTCTTCCGCGCTTTTAAAGGAAGTGGCGGTTACCTTTATATACCTTCCCATTATTTGGGTCTCTCTCCATGGTAGAGCTGGAGGTATTGCAACATGTCCTTAATGAGGTCAAGCTCGCCTTGGCTTATCTTTTGGCTGAAGCTTTCTGCATTTCTAGCGGTTGAATTTCAATCCTGTCCAGGACGTTTAATATTGAAAGGCGTCTAAACGCGGGCTTTAAATCTGCTTGGTTGTGTCTGACGCTGTATGCGCTCCGGTGGCTAAATTCTGTAGCAAACGGCTCACGCGGAAAGCCCGCGGTCGTACCTGCTCCATGAAAGGAATTCATCTTCTTCAGCAGCTTCCGCACTCGCTCCGACCACCCCTCGGCCGCCATGGTACCTCTTGCATAAAGCCCGCCCTCACCCCTGCTCCTCACGCCGGATGCGTAAATCTCATTGGTTCGGCCAGTCGTTCTGATTCCTTGATTGGCCTTCATCCTTCGAATTCCATCGGGAAGCTCCGGAGAGCTCAGAGATCCGACTTGGTAACGTTTCGCCTCTTTTACCGTCCAAGGTTTCTCGTGTTGGTGTCTGGAGGTGAGAAACACGTTAAAAAAAAAATCTTGCACGGAGAGAATTATGAGAAGATGTTGTTTTTTTTAAAAGAAAAGCTTCTAGTAGAGAACTTGGAAAGCGACCCAACTATTGCAATACATCTGGAGTGAAAATGATGTGGGTCTGCATTCACTGGAAGATTTAGATTTTTTTAATAGATTTTAATAGCATTTATAGGCCGCCCTTTTCCCTGAGGGGACTCAGGGCGGCTTACAATAATAAAAGAAGGGGAGTGAAGACAAAACATAAAAAGAAATGTGCAATAACTGAAAAATACTAAAAACACAACATTCTCTCAGCATTCGGGAGGGGCGGAAGAGTTTATCCCCAGGCCTGTGTGGCTAGCCAGATCTTGAGGGCTGTACAGAAGGCTTGGACTGTGGTCAGGGTACGAATCTCCACGGGGAGATTGTTCCATAGCGTTGGAGCAGCA